TACCAGTCTGTTTTTTGATTGACTGGTAATAATAATCCTTCTGATAGGTCATGGGGTCCGCAGTGGCCACAAGGTCTGAGGCGTGGGCCTTGTGCCGCTTGGTCGCTGGGACCGTGGGTTTGAATCCCACTCAAGCCATGGATGTTTGTCCGCGTTTTTCTGTGTTGTGCTGTCCTGTGTACAGGTAGAGGCCTCGCGACGGGCCGATCCCTCGTCCAAGGAGTCCTACCAACTGTCTATAGATCAAGCCAATGAAAAGTTGCTCAGGCACTTGAAGAACGGGTCGTTCCCAGTATCCCAGATAGGTCATGCCTATTTATTTTTTGTTTTTGTGTGTTCATATCTAAATGTTTCTGTCCTGCAAGTACAAGTCAATTCATAATTTGTAAAGTTAGCTTGAAGTACTGCCTTCATCAGCAGTAAAGCTCTCTTCAGAAACTTCTTGGTCACAGTTTCAGCAATTATTTTTGCATTTAGTGTGTATACATGTTCGGTCCCTTAGCAGATGTTCTTCCATGAAGATGTTTTGGCTTTCCATATCTCCTTTCTCTAACAGGAACGTGCACCATTGTACGTGTCCCGATTGCCTGTTCATTTAACTGTGTTGAATAGGTGGCTTCGTTTTAACTGTAAGGGCCCTCAACTCTTTACTCCATCAAGAAACTTTCTTTGTTGAGTGGGTAGCTTAGCATAACAATTTTATTAATAGGATGAGAGAACAGTCTGTTACAATAGGTCAGGTGCTAACAATGAGCAAAGATTACGCGTAAAACCTCAAAGAGTTCCTTTTAGGTTCTTGTGAGATTTTAAGCCCTCTTGTGTGCCTAAATATTTTCATATTTGGTGTTGAATTCTTAAAGTCAAAGGAATTTTATCTCTGATTCAGAAGTTGTGTGTCATCCGTCATATATCAGTTTTCTACGAAGGTTCTTGCTCAACTGGTCTCTTCCTTCCTATCTGAAGTCCAGGAGGCTGTTTCTTTATATCTGCTCTGAATATTTAGATTTGATGACATACAATATTCCAAAAGATTTTCTCATGTTGAATTGTTGCCTGTGCTACCCAGTATAATAAATATGATGTGCATTGGTACCACTGTCAGTGACTAGTTCTTGCCTCTGCTGGTGCAGTAGCATGCAATGTCTGAATTTGGAGAGCTTAAACAATGCTTGAAGTGTCAGAGGTTTTCATCAAGTGATGAAATCCAGGAAGAGTTGGTGGATACTATATGCCAACTACTGCAATCTTTCTTTAAGGACACCATCAATGGGCTCGTGAAACAGCGGGATAAATGCCTTAACTCAGTTGAGATTACTTCTAAATAAATGTCAGGTTTCTATAAAATTATACCAGGTCATGTTCAATTGACTTCCTCTCATATATTATCACATTATTTTACTGTACTGATTCACTGTTACATTTTACTGATTTAATCAGATTTTGTTACTTCTTTGTTCAGGGATCTGTCATTTGGCCGAGGATCCACATCTCCAGTTAAAGGTGCAGCACTGCCAAAAATCAATCCTACAGAACCGTGGGATGGTAAGGATGGAGAGCTGCCACCTGAAGAGGACATAGATCTCTCGGACATTGATCTAGATGACGCTGACAATAAGGATGAGTTATAAGTGATACATGTTTAAATGTGTGTGTAATTGAATAACAATATATGTGAAGATCGATGCAGCAATAGCTGCTTAGATTCAACAACCGTGGTCCAGAAAATGAGTAAGCGCTAAAAGAGAATGGAGGGATCAGAAATGTACATGAGATCACAGTTTCAACAGAATTAATTGCGACACAAAAGAACAAATAATGAAGTGAATAAGAATGATGAGAGATTTTTCAGTGTGGTGCTGTAGAGGCTGTTCATTATTTGATTGAATTTATTGGCCATATCATGCTCCAATTTATGTGTTATACACGTAGAAGTACTCTGGAGAATTTTTTGTTGTCAGGAATTATATTTTACCTCGATACCTCTTTATAACAGGTTAATTAATTTTGAATTGCTAATCTTCAGTTAATGTAGTTCATAATTGCCTCGTGCAAGTTTTTGCATTTTTAAACCCATTTGTTGTCAATAAATTACTTATTCTTCCATAAACATCTGATATTTAAGGAAGTCTGGAACCTTTTCTTTGCCGAGTGCCATATGGTGTCTACTTCATCTTCAGTCCCAATCGCACATTGCTTAGGGTTAAGACATGCTTCCTGTGCTGAAGGTTTAGGTTCAAGACCAACTGAACACATGTAGTTTTTCCCACATGCAGCTATTCGGTGTTCACGTCAAACTGTAAGCCACTCTGCTTACTTCATTCTTGCTGTCTTTGGTCATGTGAGAGTAGTGGAATCTGACTTGCAGGTGATTTTTCATCAGAAATACATTTTTTGATCACTCTTGAGTGAATGGAGATGAAGATGGTCTATAAGACATTCACAGCACATAAGACAACAGTAAGGAATGTAGTGAGTTTACTTCGAAGTCATAATTGCTTCTAGTGTAATGCTGCTGAAGGGTTGATGGTGCCTGACTTTCTTATGCCTGTTATAAAATTGTATTTTGGGTTTAACAGACTTTTTTCCATCAGATTTTGTAATTATTCATGATGAGGGTGAATTTTAACATATGATTTAATTTACTATTTAAAATTTAATTTAAAAAATAAGACATTTGATAAAATTTGGTTTGTGGAAATTGATTAATTGCTGCAGTTCATAGAAAATTAAACCTTTGTTATTTAGAAGTTAAAATTACATTACACTTCAGTGTATTTTCTGGTTGGGTTTAATAGTTATTTAATGTGACCTCTAAAATATATCATTAAATGCCTAATTATTTCTTCAGATTTAATTGGCATTCCAGTTGTTTAACTTCGTATAATTTGTTTACCGTAGCAGGCCACTGGGCTTGTGACATGGGAATGCTGCTCCCGATGGTGGTATTTTGTGTAATGTAACACGGTATGTAACAAGTAATTGCGAGAACAGTTTGTGGCCATTAATGTCACTTACATGCAGTATGAACTCATCATGTATGGATATTATTTCAGACATTATTCCTCAATTAATGTTATTTCGTTGCAGCTTGACTGTTATCGTCCATGTGTTGCATATTACCCACAGTGCAGCTGGGCATGTGTCACATAGCAAACTGTTAACTCTGCAGTTAGTCTGGCTGGCAGGCTCGTTGCATGGAGGTTTAAATCCTCTGTTCCGGTATGATAAAGGTCCAGACATGAAAGATGCAATATCTGAACCTAATGAAAATAATTCTTTATTGCTGTGAGCTTCATAATTATCTTATTTTATTTTCAGATATAGTAATAGGTGTATTTTACACATTTTCACCCACACTCTAAAGGTGGATAACATGCTAAACAAATGGAGTGTGTGTGAAAGCATCACTTGAATTTAATATTATTATAAGGACTGCCCGCAAGAATGTTGTAACTCATTGTGTGCAATAAATGGGATGAATATGCTTCCACATATTTTCTTAAATTTAAAGTATAGAATCAAATTATCCTGTAACATTGAAAATTTATTGTATTATTAGGTAGTCGTTACACTCATTCAGTATTAACACAAATAGAAGCCTGGGTTGTGTACACTGTCTGCTCTTTTTTTTCCTGAATCAGAACTTGCATTTATTGCGAACACGTACCATCTATCACACACTGTTATAACCAGGAATGATTGACTGTCATGTGGCTGCTGTTCAATTTCTCATATCCAATAAGTACCATTGGTGGACATGTTTTTTGATTTCAATGTAACGTGTGTCAGGAATGGGTTGTGTGACTATTTGATCATTCTGTATTACCCGTGATCTCAGAACAGCTGCTCCAACTGCCTTTATATTGCTTTGTTTTGTCTATATATCTACATTGTAATAAAACTAATGTGCATAATGTTATTCCTTGCTACAAATGACATTAATCACTTGTTGATTATGCGATAAGAATAATTTATCTCCATAAATGACAGCTCTGGGTACATTTGAAAATGAAAATATTAAGAAATAATTTGCATACACACCAGTAACTTAAAATGGCTGTGTATGTCAAGATCACTTGCAGATTTTCATTTAAGTGGTAAGTTGTTAAACACTTGCGTATTCAGGATAGAAGAATAATTGTTTTAAGTAATTTCAATTTTTAGTACTTTTCTTTTAATATTTTTAATGCTTATTTTTTAAATTTGGGGTGGAGTGGAGCAGACGCCCAGTTTGCCACTTCTAACAAGTACACATTGATTTGAATACTAGTAGTCAGTACTTTATTACTCATGCCTCACAAAAGACAGTGATAAATGACCATTGATGAAACCAGTGAGTGATGTGCTGAGTAAAATATCATGTTCAGGTGTGAATTGTCTGCTATGTGTGCTTTTCATTATACCCTCCTAAAATATAAGAATCATTATGCAATGTGCCATTCTTATCCTAATCATTAGTGTGTAAAGCAGTGTCTGGATATACATACAAAGCAGGGTAATATTTTTTCATCAAAGAATTGATGTGTAAGGGCAGTAGAATATAAAATTTAAGGCATATAACACTAGCAGCTTTGTTATGGTACTTGATTATTTTTACAGAAGAAAGAGTCACTTCTGTGTTGAAAACAACAAAGATAAGTTAGTTTTAATGGTTCTGATATACATTAATTTTGAAATTGAGCTCTGTATCGCACAACTTTCAAGATCTGTTGGGCATGGGATGAGACACAGGGAATCGTTCAGTTCCCAACCACTGAGTGGACTGGCACATCATTAACTCGCCAGCTTCACAGTAAAGAGATTCTCCCATTTTGAATCCTGGCCAAGAGCAGTTATTCTGACAGTGTTTGATGTTTTATAGTTGTCTCTTAGGCAAATACTGGGGCTGCCTCCATACATACTCCTTTTCATCCATAATCATACCATATTTTATTTGATGCCAACATCAGCAGCTGATACAGTTTTATAAAGCTGAATAAGTGAACATCATTCTGTCCACCAGATTTTCTATGCCCTCACCTCTAACCTCTCCTGGAAATGTGAAGACTCGTATTGTCTGACATGATGAAAGTGGTACAGTGGAATGCTCCCTCGTAAGAAATTGAGTGCTTCAATTCATTGGGTATTCAGGGTGAGAGACATTTACAATAATTACTATGGACAAATATAATGAAGTATCATATTTCTATTGAACAAATAGGTCAAGACTGTGATGACAGAAATTAATCTTATTGATAATTTCTAGTATAAAACACTGTCACATATTTTATTTCAACCAGCTTCCGATTCCAAAAAGCCATTTGCTATTGTGGGAGAAGAGTAATTGTGTGTATTTTCTCCCCTCTGGCTAAATTTTGTAGACAGAACAGTGTAACCATATTTCTTTGTCTCATTTCAATTACTGTAGGCAACTGCAAAAAGAAAATGGAAAGTAGTTTTACTAGGAATATACCTCACATACTGCAAACAGTATCAACATTGAGACCAACGACCAGGATTTATTTAGGAAGAACAATACACGAGACAGCATCTGACATCATTTAATATAATTCCTATTAATAAACAAATCATGTCATCAGGTTTCGGAATGGAGAAACATGAAAGTTTACCTGAACCGTTAATAACATTCACTGTCAGCCCCATTAATTGCTTTTCACACACAGTATTATAATTCTTGATACTCCTGACTGAGTATCTGGAGATATGTGACATGGACAATTTGAAGCAAAGATTCAGGTAAACTGTTGAATCCATCATAACTCTTTAGTGTGCAAAGCAATGAATGGACCTCACATTGAACTTCAACAAGAGAACTTTCTCACATAAATTGTTATAAAACAGCTTAATAATTATACCGTAACTTTATAGAAATACTCTATTTCTGACCATAGCTATTAAGTGGGCGGCATTCAAACTGAAGTTTATTTATGTACCTAAACTTGACAATAATAATACATCCTTATAAAGGCATGGAAAGAAATCTCTTTTTACTCAGAATTAGGGATGACATGGACAACAGCAGAATTACTAGAATAAATATAATTTATATGAATATGTAATTCTGAACGAATAAACAATAACTTCCTATTTCTGTAATGTAGAGAGCCTCATTTTCAATTGCATAATCCTTTAATCAATCAAACCTTGCTGAAATAACTACCCTATGTAAACTATGTGAAATTATCTTGCTCTGGTTTAAAGCACTATATTTACATATAAATCTAACTCCTGTAAACCCCCACCCCACCCCACCCTAAGGTTATTATGTGGATCCAAGCGCAGATCATTTTAATGGTGTAATATCCCAGCCAAGGCCATATTAATCTGTGCTCGTGATACAACTGGCCTAGAGTTCATTGTTGTTCTATTAGAGTAATTATTATAAATTAGATAAACCTTGAACACATTCTGAAAAGCTCTTGTACATGTCACTTTATTATTGAAACTATCAACTGAAAAACATAGAAATTTCATTCCATATAGAAACTTACTGCTAAAATAAAATAAAATGTCTTTGAAAACTATATTTTATTATTTTATAACTATACTAAAGTGTCAGTCTTGTTACACATGTTAAGCTATTACACACTCTGAATTTATACTGCATATTTTTATAAACATAGCTAGAATAATTAGTATGCATTTCTTTACTGTTACACACATGACCTTCAATATTTTGGAAGACAAAGTGAAATAAAAGTAATCAGTAACAAATATTGTAGTTACAATGCTGCCACAAGCACAACTAAATAAATATTAGAGATAGAGACGTTCATACAAATTTAAACAAACAATACAAAATTACACTCTCTTTAGGGCACAGTGTAAAAGTTACACTCTAGTCATGTCTATGATTGCAGGAGGAAGATACAGACTCGGTTCGAAAAATAGTGTTTTATATGAAATTAAATTTACAGAAATTTGTCTCATCATTTATGTAGCAAGTGTCTGATTTTTGTATTATTTCACACAGAAATGTAATTAATACTATGCAAAGAAGCTCGTGCTACTCGTTACAAAGTATGCATGGAAAGAAATTTGGTAACGATATAAACTACCAATATATATTCCTATATTAGGTAGAAAAACCATTAAACATTGGTTTCTCACATAAATGCAATCTATTATAAAAATTTGTGATTTCGTCGTCAATAAATTACGTCATCAACAATGTCAACTATAAACAAACTCGGCATTGTTGTGTTCCACAACAATGCCGAGTTTAGTGTCTTACTCAAGATTTTAAAACGCAACCAACCCCCCCCGAATGAGGGGTTGGTCAAGTGTTTTAACCCTCCATTCGGGGGGGTTTAGTTTAGTTTCTTACACAAGATTTTAAAACGCAACCAACCACCCCAGGAGGGGTTGGTTGCTTTTTAAAAACTTGACCACCCCCTCCGAGGAGCTCCGAAAGGAGCGTTCTGCCCTAGTAATGTTAAAATATAACACACATAAAGATGCTCTGGATACTTATTGTCAAAAGCCGAGTTTTCTCCTGTCATCTGAAAGGCTGGAAACTACAAACCTCTTTGTTGGATTCTAATTACATTTTACATGGAAGGCCTAGTGAGAAATTATATTTATTATTTCTCCTTATACATAAACATAAAATATTATATTAAATTCTGATATGTTACCTATCGAAGTATATAGGCAGAAATAATGGCAACAGTATGATAATATGTATGTTATGGAAAATTAATTAGTTCTTGGTCCTAGAAAGTCTAGGTAATGGGTAATGACATTAAGGCAGCTTTAATTTATAAAATAGTGTTTGGTCACATCCTCATACCATGCAGACCTCAGACTACTGAACACACTTCCCTTATTACACGATAACATTGTGCAGTACCAGTCTTCTCACCAGGGACCTTCCCTACAGGGTAGGCGGTTAGCATTCACGTAATGTGTAAGAGTTGAACATTTCAGTGTAGTGGTTATTGCTCTTGCCACATTCCGGAAGTCACTAGTCTTCATGACTGAGGTTTTATAGGAGAGTGCAGCTTAATATAGGCCATGATTACTTATTTACAAACCCATAAAAACTAATTATTCTTAATTAGTCTTTTATTGTTTGACACTATACAACTTTTCTACTTGACACAGTATCATTAAATAAATCATGAACGATAATAATGTGTAAGACACCAAGTAGAAAATGTCTGTGATAATCATGTAATAATCACAAATTATCATATCTGTAGAGATTACTGCTAATTATGAGTTATTAATATGCTAATATATACGGCCAGCTTAGTTTAGACGCAGACTTATAGGTGTTTCCGGAACCTTGGACAACATGAATGCTCTCTGCAGCTAGGAAGTAACCTATGAACCTTTGTTTGCAACTCACTTTTCTGCTAAAGACTTTAATACTAGTGTGTTCAATTTTTCTTCACGCAAGATCTTCCCTGCATTACTGTTCGCAATTCTAATCTTGAGACTTGTGGGGTGAGGAAGTGGGGTGAAGGAGGAAAAATAGCGTCTGCCTTTAACACTTCGGACATCCTGCATTCCTTGCAAGTCTCAACATTACAGTCGTGAACAGTAGCTTACATATGATGTTGAAGCTTTCACTGCAGCTTTCATTAATAAAGTCTTCTCGGGCTATCAGCCGTGTTATTTGGTGATCAATCAATCACCAACTAACACGGCCTGAGAAGACTTTATTAAAGTAGCTTACATGTTAGACAGGTTTGAACCCAGGACTTTCATCATTCATCACAAGCCTTTCCATTCAAAGTCTATTTAACCAAAAACTATTACCTCATGCTGTGCGTTTGGAGAAAGGGTAGTGACCCACACAAATATGGGTCTATATTTATATCACAAATATAGAACCTTTCCCTTTCCAAGGGCCACAATGCCAAACTGCTGTTAGTCTTGAAGCCATATTATTAATTACTAATAATTGACAAATATAACTTCTGCAGAAGTTTCTTAAGTTACTACCCAAACTATAGCAATCAAAAATGCCTACTTTTTGGAACAAGTTCACATGGTCATGTTAAGATAGTACTATAGGCAGTTCATAAATTAAGTTTATGTAAACTAAGTTTTGTGGAGAAATGCCTTGTAAACTCTCATAGAAATACACTGGTAGATAAATTAATGTGGACAATTTACAGCCATGTTTACAAATATTGGAAACATCAAAGCTACTATATGCCCTGTTCTTTCTGTACAAAAGTTACTTGTAGAAAATTAATAAAGTAATGCAGTTCCATAGTTACACAACTCTGAATAATGCATGACAATCAAACATCTGAAAATAGATGTACTTCAATTTCTTGATCATGACAGAACACAGTGGTTTCCATAAATACAATGCATGCTGACTTTCCTTCATACAGAAGAAATCTCCATTACATCATATGTCCTCGTTCTCTTACACAGGATAGGATAGAATAGACTGAAATAGTAAATTCCAGTTCCTATACCAGTTATTGTAAGAATAATGACCATGTAGCCCCATGCACCCAAGCCACCTCCAGAACTCTTCCCAGATGGTGCTAAAATGGAACATGTAATAATATCAATTTAAGAAACACAAATTTCAAATTTGAACTTTTATGGTAATTTGAGAATGCTTCACTTGTATATACAGTGCTATTTAACCAAATGTCATGACTAAAAATCAATAAAACTCACCTGATACACTTTTCTCGTTTGTTTGGAAATTAGATCTTTTCTGTTGATCTCCATATGATCTTACCCCTCTGTAGTACTCATCTTTTTTATTACTGCTATCAGCTTTGCTTCCACCATGAACTGAACTTAAAGCAACTAAAGAAAAAGTTTTTATAATGTCATTAATATTTCTGAAACATTAATAATTCTTGTACATCATTTACACTTGAATCCCCTGGACACAATAAACGCATTACACAAGTACGGATTATTGCTCTTTCTGGATAAATAATGAAACAATATACATTACTGCAATTACTGGACTACAATGACCACTGAACAAAGGCACACAATACTCCAAATTAAAGAAAGCGCAACTTCTTTTCCGCTATGACGCGGGGCGGCGGAAACATGTTTAAATTTAAATACATTTCAATATGTTGTAAAGTAAATATTATTATGACTGTAAATATATTTCGAGCAGCCATACTTACGGAAAAGAAATATAAGAAAATATAATACACTTCGTGTCATTTTTGACGAACTACAACTTTTACAAAAGTACAATACGGATCCCTCCAAACAATACACAAACCATCTTCCTACTATGCGATGAAAGCATCTAAAATAGGGGGAGGGAGCAACAAACATCCGCGACATCTACATCTATTGTAGCTGAAGTACTTGAACGAAGTATGACCTGATCAGGAAAGATGTCGCTAGTCTCCAAGGACGTCGCCATCGCTCGTCACTTCTCGGAACCAACCAGGACGAAGCTGCATACGCCGATAAATGTTGTTATTAACTGTGGGAAAATGTGTGGTTATGGATGCAGTAGCAGATAATACAAACAATAAGGAAGCAACAGAGGTCTGGTAGCGCTTTTAATCTGATCTGATAACTAAGGATAATTTAAAAGGAGGTAAATTTTGATTTTTTAATCTGTAGTGCAGTATTCCGATGTCTACTTTCTAAGTGTTAATCTAACTACATTATAACTAATTCGGACGCATGTGTCCATTCTCATGTTCTACGTAGTTACTGCATGATGTTTGAAACCACAACGTTTCAGAGGCCCTTGCAGACTCTTCTAGATTCATAGCTCTGATGATGAGGCATCAAGGACCTCTGAAACATTGTAAACTTTCACACTCATTTCCCAATGGTGATAAACTTACACGACACTACGGCCCAGAAGACTGCTATCATCCTACCCGCTACCGTGAGAATCACAAATCAGACGTAATATAATCATTATTGTTATTCAGTTGACATGTCTTATTTAACTTTGCACTGTCAAGTGACCAACAGGATTTGTCGGAATTCTTTGTTTTTATACTGAGTGCAATAAGTACATAGACATTAAATCTGAAGGTGGGTGAATGCATCTGAAACATGTAGTTCATTGAACACTGAAAAGTGTGTGAAAGTGACATGAAATACAAAATATATGTTTTTATATCCTGAGTTTCTAGTTTACTTTCAGGTGTGATGTGTTGTGAATCATGCTTTGCTTCTTCCAGAACATGGCACCTGTTAAAACATGCTTTGCATGTGGGTGTGAATCAACCTACAGACAGACCAGGAATTCAATTTTCCAAGGAATTCACCACGGTATATCTGTTACATATTAGCTCTGCTCTTATTCATGATATAATGGTTTTATTATTAGTGTTATATAACCATTTCTTTGTTATTTTTGTGATAATTAAATTGTAATGATAATTATAATAATCAGTTCAGTTCCAGTTTCATGACACTAAAGGGTCTGTGACAGGGGCTGCAGTATTAAATATCAGTTATGTATAGTATATTGTTATTAATGACAATAAAGTACTCAAATTTTCCAAGTAATTGATCTCAGAATTTACTGATCAGCAGAATGCCATTGTTATTCATTATTTATTAATTGTGCAGATGAACATACTAGTTATGTAGATATATCATAGAACTAATATTATATTAGTGTATTTGAAATACCTGCATTTGAAGAGCAGAATATGATGCATGTGATTGAATAGTATGGTGAAAATTGTTTCCATAAAAAATGCACTTATGTAAAAAAATACTTTTAAATGTAACAGTTCCTGTGTAAAATAGGGTGCTTTTTTCTGGTAGAACATATGTAGCAGTGAAGCATGTAAGAAAGCTCTCTCATTTTCTTTAAATGGTTGTTCCAGGCCACCACGGCATGACACGTCCTCAGGTTGTGGATGCAGGAACACCCTCCAGTTATGGAGCTTGGCTGCAAATACAGAGTGTCCGGATGAAAGGTATCCAAAATAAAAAATTTATATCTCGGAAACTAATTGTCAAACACGTATCCGGTTTATGTCATCGGAAAGGGAAACTCTGAAAGTTTTTTTCATGCCCGGCTTATGCGCATGCGCCAGCTGGTGACCTTCAGCGAGCTCAGTAACGATGTAGACACCACAGGAATAGGTTCAATGCGTGTTGTGGCTAGCAGAGTTGCAATCTCTTACGGCTGTCCAGCGTCGTTTTAGAAAGCAGTATGGACGTCAACCTCCTACAAGGAAAAGCTTTCGGTTCTGGGACAATAAACTGAGGACTACAGGTAGTCTGTTGCGTGTAAAATCTCCTGGAAAGACACGGACCTCTGAAGAAAATGTCAATCGCATTAGAGAGGCATTCCAGCGAAGTCCGCGCAAATCAATTCGTGCTGCTAGCTTGTAGTCACAAATTCCACGTTCAACAGTGCATGATGTGCTACACAAAAGGCTCCGCCTAAGAGCGTACAAGATTCAAATGATTCATGCGCTAAAACCGACTGACTAAGTAGCACGCACAAACTTCGCTGTGGACATGCTAGAAAGAATTGACGCGTCAGTGCTTCTCGGACGAGGCGACGTTCCATGGCAATGGAGTTGTAAACAGGATTTTAGGCAGTCAAAATCCACATGTCACATTTGAGTTGGAGAGAGGCAGCCCCAAAGTGAACGTGTGGGCTGGCTTAATGCACGACAAGTTGATTGGACCGTTTTTATTTTCAGAAAAGACCGTGATCGGACGTTCATACTTGGACGTGCTGGAGCTGTATGCGCTGCCCCAATTACCACCTCAAACTATCCTCCAACAAGATGGGGCGCCGCCACATTTCTGATTTGTAGTGCCGCCAGGGGAGCCCACATTGAAATTTACTGAGGAAGTTATATACTCAGAAAAAAACTTTCAAAGTTTTCCTTTCCGATGACATAAACCGGATACGTGTTTGACAATTAGTTTCCGAGATATAAATTTTTTATTTTGGATACCTTTCATCCGGACACTCTGTATAATGAATAAGCAGTCGCAGACAGCCGACAAGGAGCGGTCCTCCAGCTTGGGGGTTGGGCGTAAGGATAACAACTTTTCACCATAAAAAACTGTCTTGTCATAAATTTTTTTACCAAGCCTTGTATCCAGACAGACTCTTTCTGGACCATAGCAATTGAAAAAAGGATGTGAGATTTGGAATATGGAATGTTAGGAGCCTCTATAGGACTGGGGCACTTAAATCAGTGAGTAGGGAATTAGGGAATTATAAGTTAGATTTAGTGGGAGTGCAGGAAGTGCGATGGGAGGGGGAGGGCACGATCCCAGTGGAAAATTTCACGTTTTTCTATGGAAAGGGGAATGATAATCATCGTTTAGAGACAGGTTTTTTGTTCATAGCAGAATTAGGGCAGCAGTTAGGAGAGTAGAATTTGTTAGTGATGGGTTATCTTACATAATTCTGGAAGGATGTTTGTGCGACATTATTACCCCTAATGTTCATGCTCTAACTGAGAATAGAAGTGATGATATCAAGGATAGCTTTTATGAAGAATTAGAATCAGTATTTGATACATTTGGCAAGTATCACATGAAAATTCTGTTGGGAGATTTCAGTACAAAAATTGCGAGGGAGGATATCTTCAAACCCACAATAGGCAGCGAAAGTCTGCATGCACTTAGTAATGATAACGGTGTTAGAGCAATAAACTTCGCTACGTCAAAAGATTTAATTGTATAAAGTACAAAATTTCCACACCGTGATATTCATAAATACACTTGGACTTCTCCAGATGGCAGCACGCACAATCAAGTAGATCATGTTTTAGTAGATAAGAGAAGGCAGACAAATGTAATTGATGTGAGGTCATTCAAGGGAGCAGATTGTGACATTGACCATTATCTGGTAGTAGCAAGTGTGAGGGAGTGGCTGACATGTTAGTATCCTGTCAGCAGACAGGTGAGTAAAATCATGTTAGGGTAGCTAATAAATCCTTTGAAAGTGTGAGAATAACAAATCAAAATGATGTTCATGAGGAAATTAGGAGGAGACCAGATTCCAGAAATGCTTACTACTTTCAGTTCAAAATATTTTTGCCTGTTTTGTATGGGTGTGAAACATGGTCTCGGACTCTGACGGAAAAACACAGATTTCAGGTGTTTGAGAATAAGGCATTGAGGATATTTGGGCCTAGGAGAAAACTGCATAATGATGAGCTTGAAAATATGTACTCCTCCCCCAGTATTGTCAAAAAGAATGAGATGGGCGGGGCATGTAGCGCGCATGGATGGTACAAGAGGTGTGTACCGGGTATTGGTTGGGAAGCCTGAGGGGAAGAGACTGCTGGGGAGACCTAGATGTAGATGGGAGGATGATCTCAGGCGGGATCTATGGGAGATAGGAGTTGAGGGAGACTGGATTTTGTTGGCCCAGGACAGGGTCCGCTGGAGGGCTTTGGTTAATTCGGTGATGATCTTTCGGGTTCCGTAAGCCCTCTAGTTATTTAAGAAATAATAAATTATGGCTGTATGTTGCAGTATACTGATTATTTACTTCTGCTTCATATTTGGTAGGTTTGGGGTTTTATTGCCAAGACCAGCTATCCCAAATTCCTGTAAGTAAATTCAGATGTACTTTGAAATAGGCCATGACCCATGCTTTCTGTGCCTTTAGAAATGCATCATTAATGAATTATTGAATAATTTTTAGGGGTAATTCATCAAACAGAAAAAAGATAATCACTTTACAAAAGAAAATTGTCAGATTAATAGTTGGTGTCAAACCTAGAAATTCATGTAGAAGTCTATTTAAGAGATTCTTCGTGAATACATATTCTCATTAATGAACTTTATTGTAAATAAGTAAAAAAAGTAAAAGTATCCCACTATGAGCCATGTAGGCGCTTGGGGGAGAGGTGGTATAGCTCCTATTCTTTCTTGACCTCAGCACTAGATGGGGGTGAGTGGTCAGCATCACGCCCCAGCCGTGCTTTACCCCCGGGAAAGGAATCCGGTACCCATTGGATAGGAGGCTGTGTGGGCCCCAGAGCTGGTCTGGACGCAGAGGCTCTTGAGGAAAAAATCCTCTGCCCCCGTCAGAGATCAAACCCTGGTCGTCCAATCCGTAGCCATTCACTATACTGACTAAGAAATTTTCCAAACTAATTCTGCTGTACACAGTGTCAACACAAGGAATAAAAAATCAGCTTCATAGACCAATTGCCAACCTCTCATGTTTTAAGAACAGTGCATATTATGCAGGGATCAAAATTTTCAACAGTCCACCATCAAGTCTCACAAGTTTTGTGAATAAAAAGGAGAAATTTAAGGTAGAATTAAAAAATACTTAATTACACACTCCCTTAACTCTGTCGATGAATTTCTATTGTTTACAAATAAGTGATGAATTATCTTCTGTGTGTAATGGGTAGATTTATTTGTAACGGATCATTACTTTGTATTGTGTGAAATTTATATAATAGTTTGAATTGTACTTTATGATATGTATTGTATTATTATTATGATGACTTTCTCCACATCCTTTGTCATCTGACTATCTTATGGATCCAAGGAATGTGTATATGTATTACTGCAATCACGCCTGTGACAAACGAAGATGGGCAGGTTTGAGTAAGTATATTTGAATGCTGGAACAATAATACTGGGAAAGTGACTGACTCAGATTCGAAGAAATGAGAACTGGCACAACCACTGGGAGAAAAAACATTTGTGAGGTAAGTCAGTATTTCAGAATGACTGTAAAGTGACTAAATTTAATAAAATAAGCCACTAACATGAGCACAGAATTTTATGTTACCTCCATATCATTATCACTTTGACCCCACTGATTGCAATGCAGAGACTTATATTGTCACATAAAACTCCTTTTATTTATTTTTAGGATACATTTCTCTTGCTTGAAATTCTCAAAACCAGAACTAACTTCAACAAACTTGAATGTGTTTGGAAACGGTTCTCTACCTTATAAGAATTTCTTGAATTCATTGTGCATGTAATTACTACATTCACAGTTGTGCGCGTAGACACATGCAAAGTGTACGTTTTTTATATTGCAAAGATTAGATTGTGCCAAACTTTCGTGAATCTCTCCAATATAAAATGTGGAAATCCGTGTACCAGTTCTAAAGCTCTGCCATGTAAGTAGGCTGACAAGTATGATGACGGAATTGGGGCGTTTTTACAGCGTCAGCTATGACCGCGCCCAAAAAAAGTAAAGATAACTGCATGACAAATGCTGGCCACTCTGATTTCTGTAAATATACAAATTCATGCACAGGCCATGTTATCTGTGCAGGTCAAGGCGATCACCGGCGTCCGCTCCCACAAACCACAGTTTAACGTGAAAACAATAATAACCACGATTTCGCGATGAAAGTACTACATTGCAGCATGACCAACAAAGGAAGTGGTGATTGAAGAAATGTGTTAAGATGAGATATATCTTCTGTCATATCCACCTCCTTGGTGTTCCAAGAGACCACTTTCTAAAATATTTCGTACAAAAATGCTGTATTTTGTAATTGGCTTTCCCAGTCAAGTTACACATCCAACCCGTTGTAAATTCAAAAGAAAAGAAGGCTAGATAATGACACCGTTGAAAGAGCATGTAACATAACCTCAGTTTTATCACAGCCGAGTTAAAATATTGCAATGAAAATGTGCCTTGAATTCTTCACGTGGACGGAAAGTCACTGGTTAGCTCTGCCATCTAACGACAGACACTGAAAACAACTGTGAAGACTGGTGCCACACATTTCTCCGTTGCGTAGGAAACCACATACCCATCGCGTCATAACCCAAGAGAAGTGACACTCTGCTAACACTATTTAGTTCAGAATTGTTATTTAAATGTTTACGTATTTCGCTGTTCGAGACAGGTTCAATTAATGCAGTAACACCACGCAGAAACAACACGAAATTATGACTGCGTTGAATCACAAACAACGTACGTAAGGTACGTCTGTAATTACTGGCCCATTCACATTAAAATTATTTATAAAATTTTTGGTGTTTTCAGAACTTTCTGTTCATTTCCGTACTTGCGGGTATATCGAATGCCGTTTTATCCTAGGGGCAAAGTGAACACTTTCCCAAGGACCCTCTTACTACGAATAACGGCAAAATGTATTTAACTTTGTCAAACTATATCCCGATAGGTCAGTAACATCTACGTGCTTTCCAGTCAATGTCATTGGCCAATAATTAGGTCAGGTGGTTCTGCGAAAAGCAAAGCCACAAATAAGTTTTATTGAATTATACAGTGTTAAATTCTTGTAAACTTGCTTATAGTTTTGTACATGCACTTGATTGTAAGGCCTTTTTATTAAAAACTGCAAAAAGGGAGATTCCAGGACTACACTCTCCATTACCTTACATCGCTTTTGTCCTTCACGTATAGTGAACAGATTTTCGATATGCTGTCAGCAGACTTTATCTATCGGCGTTTCCAGTTCCCACGACCGTTTTTCGGTGCAAGTCTACTGCGTCAGCTGACGCAGTGCGCGACTGTGTCTCCCTCTGTGCGGTTCACATTGGTACTTAGTCGTGTGCTGGCTGACACCACAGGCATACATTCGGCGGGAAGACGGTAGGATCAATAGGCCGATTTTAAAATTGTAAAGGAAAAAAAGTAAAACAGATAGGAATAATTGAGAAAACCAGTGACCGTGATATATAAATTAGATCGCAGACAGTGATACGCAGTGCGCTTGCTTGGAGAAGTGTTCGAAATTGAAGTCGTTGCGTCTGTTTGTGTACTCCGAAGGTGTTCATCGTCGGAGAAGCTGCTACGATGATTTCTTCTTCAATCGGAACTACACACTGGAAGCTATGGCTTATAATTGGTATCATCGGCGTAACAGGTAATGATTATGACATTTTAACGCATCATTTTATAATAGTATTTCCCATCCAGTGCCCAAAATTATGTGGTAAAATAGTTAAATATTGCTGTATTTACAACAGATGTCTGCGTTAGAGAAATTATAATAGTGTTTTTTATGTTTGGAACTAATTAATTAAGACGAAGGTCGGTTTCTGTTTTTAGTGTACAATAACACAGCTTAGGCATTTTTCAGCGGAAACACAGAAGGGCTTATTTATTTTGTGTTTGGTTTAGCTCTGCTCAGATAACAAAAACAAAAGCTGGTGGTTAAGGAGAGATGTATACACGTAAGAATGGATTATAAAACTTTTAATTTACTTTTGAGCGGAATTTTCCACTAGATTCGTAAGAGAAATACAAATATGTGTGAAGCTATTTCGCCAGAACGGAGTTTTCTAACCAGACTAAGATAGTACCCATTTTACTGAAAAATTTTTGCAGTTCTACCCAGTTCAAATACTCGACCACATAGTTACATGAAGTACGCAGTTTACTAACTTTTTACCACATGACATCACACAGATAATTTGCCCATTTTAACTTATTATGTATGATGCTCTGTAGGCAACATACGAAGTGCGTGACGGCATAGCCTTTAATGAATGCAATGACATCGAAACCAGCACATTTCTTTTAGCTGCGTCGTCTGCTAGTCTGACCAAGGACTACGAAAGTGTTTTCCATATTTGGATCAGTGCCTGTGGCGAAGCACTGCATTGCAGTCCTTTAATTAACCCAAATATGAGGCAGTTTATGTTACGTTATTAGATGTACAATGTGAGCTGGTTTACTCATCACGATGGACATAACACGTCATTAAGGAAACGTGAATCAGGTGGGGCGGCCATAAGAATACTTAAGGAAGGAATACAACAAGTTCTAGGGACGGTCTGGATCAATTGCATGAGTTTACTGAACGTGTAAATGTATTTGTGAACTGGAACATTTAATCCTGAAGGCGTGTGATATCTGATTGGGCGTGAATGAGGTTATACCCGGCAGATTTTGCAAGGATATTCAACGAAAATCTGTCCTACGTTCCATTATCGAAGTTCCCTCTTCGAAACCTGCCCTTGTTCACTTACCGGCGAAAGATTAATCTCAGGGTTTTGTATACTAAGTGACGGATTTTCGTCATCTTGATAACATGTTTATGAATTGTGAGTAGGTAGCTTCTGCCTATATATATTATAAATTATTATAATTATACGTAAAAATTTGTTTTATCGATTCCAATTATGTTATTTTATGGAAATGTTGTTTAATCGAATTATCGTTGTTATTACGCAACGAGAGTCATATCGACTTGAGTTTAGAAACTAACGATTCAGACATGAAATAAAGTTGATTATGCTTTTACTGAGTCACTTTAA